AGTGCTCCAACAGACGATGATAGACGTGACTCGCGTAATGAAACACGACGTAAGAATGAAATATGCTGTATAATTTTAATATTTTAACACTTAACATTTATCAGTATATATGATAAATATATATTTTAGTTATTTTAGTATGTATAGACAAGGCATGCAATGAACTAGTTTGTCGTGGATTGGATCAGCACCTGAAGATGGCACATTTGTGCCGAAACATGTAGTGAGAGTGAGAAGAGGGGATAGATGAATGTATGCACTAGAAGACGGATAAAATAAATCGTGGACTTAAATCAGTGCAACAGGACGCTAAAATATAACAGTATACACTCGTGTTCATTCTAGTGAGATGCTATAAAAATACTTATTTTGTATTTACTAAATATTTGCATGCTCAGATTTGTGTTAGCCAAAAACAGTTTATTTTGTTTGTGTTTTGCATAACAGCTTACTGTTTACATGAATGATGGCAGATACGATGAATATTTCATTTTCAGATAAATGCTAGATTTGGAAATAGGTGTTGGTTTGTATTTGTATTCTCTTTGGATCCTTTAAATTTAATGTTGTTGATATGACATATTCACATTGTGCTGGCCATGGTAAGGACTTATATTTTGTATTCCTGTCTTAAATATTAGCTTCTAATATATTGAAATGTTGTGGTAAAGTAAGGGTGGCAAGCTATATCATATTGAGTTATTTCATTCTCAAAATTAAGTTAGAATAAATTACACAATGAAGAAAGTTATGCAATTAAATATACAAGTACAGCTAATGCAATTTTGTCCTAAAAACTTTTCATTTTGCAGTTGAAGAAAAGTAGAAGTGATGCAGAGGACCGTCATCGAAAATCATTGCTACCATGGCACAGAAAGAATCGCTCCAAATCGAAGGATCGTGGGGAATCAGAGTACAACAAGCTGAGGATGCTTCAACAGAAACATGACACAGAGGACACAGTGTCTGTTCGTAGTGATGTCACCAGTAGTAGATCTTCTCTTGCATCATGGGACCTTGCCTTGAGAGGATCATTCAGTAGGCAGTCTGTAACCTCAGGAGAAGGGGAGAGCTGCTGTACTCTGTGTCGTGTAATCTTGCCTGATGGTGCAACTACAGTTGTGCAGACACGAAGTAGCGAATCTGTACGTGACCTAGTACTGCGGCTGCTAGACAAGCGAGGCCTTCATTACTCTGCATTCGAAGTGTTTGATGGTACTAGTGTAAAGGTAAGTGCCAGTATTGTATCTTGGCTTTCATTCCAGGGGGATGTTTTCAAAAGTCAGTCATCAAAACTGTGTTTGGTGCTTGTAGTCGTAAGTCAGTTTACTTCATATTTCCATGTGTTAAGAGTCTGTAGATGGGGTTTGGATTGGTAATTGAACTTACTGCACACTTTTGCAACTCATTACTACACTTTACAGTTCACTGTCACACACAGACTAGTGTTCTCAATCACAGTCTTCACTGTGCTGCTGGGTAATCTCGTCCAACAGTGAATGTTCCTGGGCTCATCCTCACAGACTGGCAGCCATATCACACAAACCTCCTAGTTTTCTAACTGAAGACTACCTGTCAATCGGTCAGTTGGTTAAATCGCTGTTGGTCTTCAACACAGTCACTGCTGGCTTCAGTCTCTTTGAGACCCATGACTAAGATTTTTGTTCTGTCCTAAACCTGTGTATTTAAATCACTGTTGGTCCTCACCAACACAGTCGTTGCTGGCTTCAGTCTCTTTGAGATCCATGACTAAGATTTTTGTTCTGTCCTAAACCTGTGCGTTTAAATCACTGTTGGTCCTCACCAACACAGTCATTGCTGGCTTCAGTCTCTTTGAGATCCATGACTAAAATTTTTGTTCTGTCCTAACATTTGCATGTTTAGGAATGGAGCCTCCTCAACATGGGAGGAGTTGGTCTTTCTGTGTAGGCACGACATTAGTTGCATCATAGTGTCAGCATGGGTGTGTATCTGTGCTGTCACAGCATGCAGGTCATTATGGACTCTATGCACCCTTTAAGTAACATTTATAGAAGATATACAGAGGTTTTCTGTCAATGCAGGCTTGTGCAGCAGGTTATGTCTTGACTTACTGCAAACTGCTCCTTGTTTTGTAGCCTTGGCGCGGACCACACAGAAAACATCACTTCCAACAGCTGTGTTGTTGCATGCATGTCTTTTGCGGCCATCATATGACAGCTGCTGAGCCATTGCCTAGCAATGGGCATGTTTGCAGAGCTGTTTTCTATAATGGCTGTCTGCTGGCTTTACAATTCTGCCTTTCAGCAGACGTGCCATAATATTTTGTAGATCTAATAATCAATAATCAATAATATATTTCATTATTTTTTCTCATTTCCTTCATGAAAATGCAAGGATGGTATCTTAAAATACTCCACACCTATTTTCTTCTGTATCCTTCCCGGTTCATCATTCACAGTTATTCTCATTTCTGATGCTATATCATATACAATCGATAAGTAAATTAAGAACATATGTCCCACACATTTCATCTCTGAGCCCCCCACCCCCAATATGGCCAAGGAAAATGTCATTGCTCATTCCAGTTGTATGTGTTCATATCCACCATGATCTCATTGATTTGTTTCTTATTATGTTTAATGGCTCAATGTCAGCTGCAGGATACTCAATGCTGATTGGTAGAGTGATGAAGAACAGTAGTTTAGGATAGATCAGGAGAAAATAGTCATGGGGCCTCTTTTGAAAAACTCTTATCACGATATATTTTGATGGACTGTGTCACTCTAAGCAAATGTTTGAATAGTATTTCAGCTTGTTCACTGCTGGGAATTTAAATTAATACAAACATTTGTAATTACATGTTGGTGGTTCAAAATCCAGTTCAATGTCTGAATGGGCTCTGGCAAACTTCCCCATGCAGAACATCTTCCCTGGCTGCTGTACTGCTAGCCAAGCCCATACGACCAGGGTTGCAGCAAAAGACTGCAGATTTTCAAGTTACACAGATGGAGTTATTGGTGCAAAATCTCCATAACAATCCAGTGTCTATTGTGTGCCAATAGAGACTCTGCAGAGCGCCGAGGGCAAAGATGTCTGTGCCTATCTTATTCATGCTGTGTCCTTGGCGTAGAAAGACAAATCACCTCTCACACAGAGCATCATATTGTGAGCTGTGAACCTGTTAGTACAGTTGTGGCAGTCCTCTTTCAGCTCCATTAGGAACGAAGAGGTCATCATCACACAGTTCTAGATTAGGCACACTCGTTTAACACATGGATATTCATTATATGGAGAAGCCCCAGCTTGTGTACGCTGTGGGTACCCTATTACCATTTCACATCGTTCTATTGACTGTCCATTTTGTACCCAAGAATGCCATACCTTCCATATTGTGGTATATTACATGACATTCTGGGGGATGATCATCATAGTATGTTGAATGTTTTGGCATTTATGATCAGTATTGGGTTGTCCAAGTTGATGGGAATGAAGGATAATTTATTCAAATTTTAGATTTCCACATTCCATGTGTTTGTTTTGGAGTCTATACATGGAGCTTATGTACTTCATGCTTCCATACAGCCTGGCATACTATTTTATGCCTCATTCTTAAGTTTCCATTTATGCATGGATGTTTGGAAATGGGGGCATGCAGTAGTGTAGTGGTTGAGGGGCTATGCTACAAGCCGGGAGGTCACAGGTTCAAGTCCCGATGAGGTCATTGGATTTTTTTTCAGTTTACCTAATCCTTCCAGCCGCACTAGGCCCTGGGGTTTACTCAGCCTCTAACAGAAATGAGTACCAGGAATTAATTAAATAATTTTCCTGGGGAGTAAAGCACGGCCACTGCATAAGGCTGACAACCTTACCGCCATCTTTGAGCCAATTGTCTAGATAGTGTGGGACCCTCAACGTCTCACAACCCTATGGGCCTCCACGGCCTGGTAGAGGGATAGCTTTACTTTTTAATTACTTTATGTTTGGAAATGTGTGTCAGGTCTCTGTACAGCCTGGCATTTTATTTCATGTCTTATTCTTGTTTTTCCTCTTATGCATGTACTTTAGGACTTGCATGTCAGGGCCCTGTACAGCTTGGCTTGCTTTTCATGTCTTATTCTTGAATTTCCTTTAATGCTTGTACCTTAGGACACATATATCAGGACCCTGTACATTTTGGTATACTATTTGAAGCCTCACTTTTGAGTTTCTCATCCTGGCATATTTTATAAAGTTTAGTCATAAATTTTATACACGGGTTCTAGGACGTCAGTACTGAGCCCCAGTACAGCTTGACAGTTATGTCAGTTTTAAAGTCCTCGTTATAAATGAAAGGTGCAATTTAACTTTTTTCTGTCAATAAAATCATGTTGCATCCAGTTACCTGTATAATTTGGGTCATAGTGAATAAATTTTTAGTTTTCTGCTTAATGAAGGCAGAAATAGGCATGAAATCTGTTGTATTTGTGAGCCCATATACGAGAGTGTCCGTGAATGTCCTCCACCCCCCAATGTCCTCTCCTTTCTCAGTTACATCAGACAAAACTCTATTACTGCTGAAGTTTGTAGTTTATTGAGTGCTGTGGATGGTATTATGAATGGTCCACATTGTCGAATAACTCAAGTCTTATGGCCCCTCATCTCTAAATAAAGGTGGTTTTCTTTTCTTTTTTCAAGTTAAGCTGTATTTGCATTTTATTTTCATGCTCAGATTAGTTCCTTTTTCTCCTCAGACATATCTTCAGTGAATGAAAAAGTTAATTACATGTAACTTGGATGTCATTGAGAATGAGGTAGATTGGAACAACATCGCTAATTCAGTATAGTATGGCAAGTCAGAGTAACTGCTTACAGAATTCTCAGGCACAGAGGCTTCCCCAATGGCTGTGAAAGCATTAAAATGACAGTGCATATAATGACTGACAGTTGTAGAATGTTTTCATTCTTAGAAACATCCCAGTGTATGTGCCATGTCCCTGTATATGTGTCAGCTCATTATTGAATGCCATGTTTGTTTTTTAGATGCCTCTTTTCTGATCACAAGTTTGCCTTTAAAAATATCTGTCAGGAACATGTCTGTCCATTTTATTCAGTTTTGGTTTTATATATCTACAATGTTTTTGTTTATGCATTTTAACATTAGACTCCATTTTCCATGGGGCACGCAGTAGCGTAGTTGGTTGAGGCACAATGCTACAAGCCAGAAGGTCGCAGGATCAAATCCCGATGAGATGGATTTTTTTCAGTTTGCCTAATCCTTCCAGCCGCACTATGGCCCTGGGGTCAACTCAGCCTCTAACAGAAATGAGTACCAGGAATATTCTTGGAGGTAAAGGGTGCCGGCACGTAAGGCTGACAACCTTACTGCCGATTGTCTAGAAACTGTGGGAACCTCAAAATCTCACAACCCTATGGGCCTCCAAGGCTGGTTATGGGGATAGCTTTACCCCTCCCCCCATGTAAATCAGTGTGCACTTCAACTCCTGTGCTTGAGACCGATGAACTGGTTCTGTATCTTGCTTCAGCCACTCTCCTTGGATGAAGACTCCACGATTCTGGCGGGCAAAGAAGTTCATGTTGAGCAACGAGCTGTGTTCAGGCTTGACCTCCCTAACAGGAAGACAGTGGGTGTCAAGGCAAAAATTGACAAATCACTTGGTGAAATTCTGCGACCCATTCTGCATAAATATGGCTACAAGCTGGAGCTTGTTACATTATGTTTAGTAAGTATTATTCTTGTGTAGTAGTGTGACAGTTGTGTGATGTGTTCATCATTAAGGTCTTTTGTCATCTGTGGAACCATAGTGAGCAGTAGCATTCTTAGAATTTGATTTTTAAAGGTGTTTCAGAATAGAAATCAACAGAAGGCTCTTTTTTCATTTACATGCTCAACAGAAATTTGTGGCATTTAATATATTTCATCCTGCACAAAAATAAAATGCATTTGTCTCCTTTCTGTACCAGAGGTGCACAGATGAACTGCGGACAAAATCATGAATACAACCCTCGTGTGGAATTATGGGTAAAATTTTTATCATTAATGCAATTAAATTCCTCCGCTGCACTATCCATATTACATTTCAGCGACTATAATGAAAGTCTTGTCTGGTTCTTTCATGAAAAAGTTGCTACAGAAATGATTGAGGTTATTGTGTTGAATGAATGAATAAGGTGTGGGACAAATTGGCCCATACATTGGGTCTATCCTTGATCTGTTTTACATCCTCCTCTAGGTAACCCCTAACAGTCCAGTTCTTTGGATTAAGTGTAGTACTTTCCTTGCTAGGTGTCTTAAGTAGTTGCCTGGTTCTGTAAAATGAAGTCTCAAGTGACAAAATCATAAGTGAGCTAAAAGGCCTCAAAGTTGCACAGGATGTTCTGACACCTTCTGATGAGGTAGCTAACTAGTCGCTATTTGAAAAGATGACCTTTCAGGTGACATTGTCTTGTAAATAGTCCTTTCACCCAACTCAACTGGTTCCTATTTAGTTCTAGTAGTTCACTCATCCTCTTTACTGAGTGTTATTGAAGGAAACCATTCATGTGTCTGAGCCCTGTTACAGACTCCCAGTATTTTTTATATGCTCTGTTTATCCAGTCCATGACAACGTTCTTGGCAGCTCCTGCTGAGATGTCACATGCCAGTTGATGTCCTTTAAATTGACATTCAGATCCATTTCATGCCAACTGATTGGCAGTTTCATTGCCTTCAGTTCCCCTATGATCTGGCACCCATGTCAACTGAACTCTGTTATGTTCAGCCAGTTTCATGAGGAGTTAATGGTAGCCCCTGACAATTTTCTGATTCATCTGTTATTTGTCAGGTGCTTTAAACAAAGTCTGTGATGTTTCTTCTCCTGCCCCACTCCCCAGTAGGCCATGTCTATATTCTGTACTCTGCTTGCCTTAGTGACACATTCTTCTGCCTGGAATACTAAAGTGTGTTGTCCAAGCCTACAGCTAAGCTTCCTCCTTGTACCATAATACAAGGGTTGGATAAAAAGTAGTGGCAACACTGCTGTAACATGAAAGATGTGCGTCAGGTGGCACTAGCGCCATCTGTAGCTAATAGCAGAAGTTCAGTTGAAGTAGTGCAGTGAGTGACTCTGGTTGTGTTTCATTGAGTTGCATTGTGCATCGTCTTGAAGTGCAGGAGCCCAGTTCAAGCACCGTAATAACATGTTTATGAAACAAGAACAGTGCTCCTGGATAAAAATTGAAGTTGCACAAGGTCGTAGTTCACAAAACTGTTATCAGGGATTGCGAGAAGCATGTGGTGATGCTGCTTTGCGATATCGCACAGTGGCACAATGGGTGAAATTGTTCCGTGAAGGGAGGGATGCCATTCAGGAAAGCCATCATTCAGGATGACCCCATGTTGACAACCCCACAGTTCAGCTTCTTGCTTCTTTGCTGGATGTCGATCGTCGATGGGCTGCATGGGAGTTAGCTGCTGAGGTAGGCATATGTCACAAAACCGTGCTCCACTTTCTGCACAATATTCTTGGATACCGCAAAATTGCAGCATGTTGGGTACCCCATATAATGTCTGAGGTGCAACAATGGCAACGTTATGCAATTGCACAGTACTTGTTGGACTGGTACCAAAGGGAAGGCGACGACTTCCTTGGAAGGATCATCACTCTGGATGAAACTTGGGCTTGCTCATATGAACCTCACTTGAAGCGACAATCAAATGAATGGAAGCATCCTGGCTCTCCTCATCCAAAGAAAGTGCGCCCTACACAGAGTAATGTGAAGGTGATGTTCATTGTGGTATGACACTGATGGAGTGATGCTGCACCACACTGTACCTCAACAACAGACAGTAAACACTGCCTACTACTGCAGTTTCCTGCATAATCTTCTTCGTCCAGCACTCAGGAGAAAGCAACATCACTTGTTGGCAACAAACCCCATCACCCTTCATGAAAATGCAAGGGCTCATACTGCTGACGCTGTCAAGGATCTCCGCCGCTGGCGATGGGAGATACTGCAACATCTGCCATACTCACCTGATATGAGTCCGTGCGATTATGATTTCTTGCCAAATTGAAAGAACCACTGCAATGGACATGTTACAACACAAAATCGTAGATTATTTGTGCTGTAGGGCGGTCACTGCTGAACATCAACAGAAGTGGACGCGCTGATGGTGTACGACACCTTCCACAAATTTGGCAGAAGGTGGTACACATGGGGGGTGATTATATTGAAGTAATGTAAGAGTGTTTACCTCAGGTAGTAAAGTCATTTCAGAGCCATAGAGGTGTTGCCACTACTTTTTATCCAACCTTTGTACATACATGCTGGTCCTAGTGTCTTAATCTGTGCTGCAACTTTCTGTATACTAGGCTATCCCCTATTTCTGTCAGGTTGGAACCAGCCTTCTCATTCACTTCTGTCAGGAAATGTGACTATGAAAGGCATATTTTATATGGAGCATTCACAATGAGAGGAAACCTCAAAATGTCACAGGTAGGCTGGTTGCTTATTTGGCCTTACCCCTTGTCCAGGGTGGGGCGCAGGAACTTCCTTTTTTAGAAGTCGAATAAAAGAAAAATTATTGCTGATAGACAAAATTTATGTTTAGCTAATAAAAGAACATACTTTAAAGTTTTAAATCATGTAGTTGTAAACAAAATAGCTTGAAGGTAATGGCCACCCTTCTCTATGCACTGATGCAACCGTTTTCTGAAGTTCCCCTCTGCACGTTCCAACATGTGAACCGGAATTTGGGCTACTTCCTGCCGAATAACATTCTTCAGCTGAAGCAGGTTTGTGGGGCGATGTTTAAAAACCTCTGCCTTGAGGTATCCCCATAAGGAAAAATCAGAGGGCATTAGATCAGGTGAGTGCGCTGCCCACAGGATGTCACCTCGAAGCAAGATGAGCCGTCCAGGGAACTCTGCCCTCAAAACTGTCATCGAAGCTCGGGCTGTGTGGGCCGTGGCACCTTCCTGTTGGAACCAGACATTTCCTAGATGCATTTCTTCAAGAGCTGGTTTGAAAAAGTTTCTATTCATGTCCACATACTGCTGTGAATTGACAGTAACTGCATGATTGTCTTCTTCAAAAAAAATAAGGGCCAATAACTCCATCTCTTGACAACGCACACCATACTGTCACCTTATCGCTGTGAAGTGGCCTCTCATGGAGCTCTCTGGGATTGTTACCACTCCAGTAGCGCATATTCTGCTTGTTGACATATCCAGATAGGTGAAAATGTGCCTCATCACTAAAGAAAACAAGTGCGTCAGGGGGTGAAGTTTCCAGTAACGTTTTGCACGCCATTATTCGCTTCTGGAAATCAAGTGGTGAAATTTCTTGCACAACAACCATCTGATAGGGATGGAAATTAAGATGTTCATGAAGAATTCGGTGCATTGAACAATTGGATATGTCTAGGGCAACTGCATGTTTGGAAGCAGAGCATCTTGGAGATCTCAAAATCGACGGTCAAACTGCCTTCACATTTTCTGATGTTGTAACAGTCCATTGTCATCCTGATGATTTTTTCACCACACTCCTGGTTGTCCTAAATTTCTCTACCCATAAAACAATCAATTTTCAGATGGGAACCAGACCTCTGGGCTTAATTCTGAAGTGAGTATGGAACGCACATTGCACTGCCATGTAGGAATGGTTGTTCAAAAAATAGGCTTCGACAACAAACACACGCTGCTCACTCGTCCACCTCATGTTTCCTAATGAGGGGTATTAGACAAAAACTTCCGCGACTCCTGTGTTCACCAAGCCTATCCCCACATCTCTGCGACCGCCCCTCCCTTCACAATGCGTCTTCACAAAAAGGAAGTTTCTGCGCCGGACCCTGTACCTTCTGCTAGTGCTAGTCAGGCAGTTCTAGAAGAGGTACACAGGAAGTTATGTTCAGAGCCATTATTGAAATACCTACCCTCATTTTGTGGCATGAAACCATCTGTTCAAACAGCACAAGAAACTTAAAAGTAAAATGAGAAGGATACTCACAAGATATTAAAAAACTGCTCAGAGTGGTTACTGGTGGCCCTTAAACATGCCTTGTACCCGATTCTGCATATGTTTCTACTGCCTGTGCATTTAATTTTTTGTGCATGAACCTGTGATGGTTTTCTCCAAAATTTCACTGTGTAATCTGTATTTAATTATAAACTTTATTCTATGACCCATTTGTTTTACTAAAATGAACATTATGTTCTTGAAATTCATGCTGTCTTTGAGGAGTGAGAATCCAGAGTTTAAATTTTCCTAATGTGTTTTTACACACAACCTCCAGGAACGCAGGTGGTGGGTGAAGATGGAAGAAAATTAAAACTGAAGGTAAAGAAACATTTTCAGAAGTGAAGATACCATTTTAGAGATTTGTATGTAGATTGGTGGATACTGGTAATATTAAAATTAATTTCAAAGAAATAAGGTATGAAGGTGTGGACTGGTTTCAGCAGATTCAGCTCATTATTGAGTGACTGGCACACAGTATTGTACATTTTGTGTTCTGGAAGTACGCTGTAGCATAGTTGGTTGAGGCACTATGCTACAAGCCGGAAGGTCATGGTCATTAAATTTTTTCAATTTTTCTAATCCTTCCAGCCTCACTATGGCCATAGGGTCAACTCAGCCTCTAACAGAAATGAGTACCAGGAATATTCTTGGGGGTAAAGGGCAGCCAGTACGTAAGGCTGACAACCTTACCACCATCTATGAGCCGACTGTCTAGAAAATGTGGGAACCTCAACATTTCACAACCCTATGGGCCTCCAAGGCCTGTTACAGGGATAGCTTTACTTTTTTTCTCTCTCTCTCTCTCTTATAAATGCAGATCATTTCTTGAACGGGTGAGTAACTATCAACTTCTGTTGACCCTGCAGTGTAGTTACTTACAGGATGATGTCCTGTTTTGTGTTCACAGATGAGTGAAAACGAAGTTGTGGAGATTAGTGCACCTGTCATATCAGTAGACAGTCAGCGTCTACAGGTGCTTACAAGAAGTGCAGAAGGTAGAATACTTTTATTATCGTGAATCTTCTACAGTTTCCAAGTTGTGTTGCCTTATAGTATAGCCTTCTTTATTCCTCTCTGCTCTCCTCCTACACTTATGTCTATTCTTGGTCTCCCCAAAGGTCACTTATTCAACATCTCCATTTTGTGCTGTCAGAGGAAGTATGTTGTCCATGTATAACACATTTCCACAAGACAGTGTCCTTAATTTTGCAAGGTATTTTTGTAGTGTCCCGCATTTGAGATCTTATTCAGTTGACAGTTCACAAGTTATTTGAATTTTTGAAATTATGGATGAACTCCATCACCTGTGTATTACATTCACCACTTAGAGGCTACTGTACCCAGTTATCTTGATTAAATGATACTATCGATTTCAATTTATCACTATATTTCTTTAATTATATACCTGTATGTGTTGTCTGCAGTCGACAGATTTTTTCTTGTATTATTCTGTACTGCCTTTTTTCCATTACATACGTAGTGTGTTCAAAAAGTATCGAACCTTTGGTCGGCAGAAATACATTTATTGATTTGGAGGTACAAAACCCTAATCCCCTTCAAAGTAGTCTCCTTGGTAATGCACACACTTCTCCCCGCGCTTCCACCATTTTTGGAAACACTTCTGGAACGCATCTTTTGGAATGGTGATCAGCCAGGCCGTCACATTCCTCGTGATGTGTTCTCTTGACTCAAATCGGGTTCCTTTCAGCGACATTTTCAGCTTGGGAAATAGCCGAAAGTCACATAGAGCCATGTCAGGGGAATAGGGAGCCTGACGAACCACAGGGATGTTGTGTTTGGCGACAAAAGTCTGAATCAGATGTGCAGTTTCGGCACGAATTTCGCAGACACTCTCCTCATGCCCAAATCCTCAGTCAAAATTGAATGTACCGATCCAATGCTTACCCCTATCTCATTCACAAGTTCTCAGACTATGATACGACGGTCCTCCATGACCAAAGCCCGCACTTGCTCAATGACATTCTCATTTTGGCTTGTTGAGGGTCTGCCTGAACGCGGTTCGCTGTCCACTGATGTGCAGCCATCTTTGAAGCGGTTGTACCACTCCTTTATCCGTGAGTTGCTCCTGGCATCATCCCCAAAAGCCTGTTGAATCTTGCGAATGGTTTCCACTTGGGTATCACCAAGCTTTTGGCAAAATTTGATGCAGTATCACTGCTCATGTTGTTCCGTCATTTTACACCTTACTGGAATCCGACGAGCGCTCACTACACGTCCTCACTCATAAGCCAACTGCCAGCTACTGATGCTTTCTGCGGGCGGGATAAAATGCACGACTGCACATGAATGTCCCCTCCACATATCCACCGAAGGGAGCCTCCAGCGCTTCATTGGTTTACGCGGGAAAAAAGAAGGCTCGATAATTTTTTAACACACCACGTACACAAGTAGGGGGAAAATTATTTAATTTATTTAGAGAACAACAGATGTTTAAATAATGAAGACTTATTATTTTAAGTCCTTGCTGTGTTATTTTGGATACCTTAGTGATAAATTTTATTGAAGATCTTAAAATCCCTCCTCCGCTGACATACCTTAATGCTGTGTGCATTTATGTTACAGTGAACATTACAAAGTTTGGTGACTTAACATAATCACCAATGGTTCTGTAAAATGACTACATGAATAGGTGAATGTAGTAAATATATTAAGTATTTCTAACATTCATCTGCGATTTTATAAAATTGGTGTCCTTCTATCATGAAAATGATTCATTTGTGGAAAAGTGGTTGGTGCCATCTACATGAACAATAGATTACTCATTGCGAACCAGTATTTCTGCCCTTTGCTGTCTAGTTGCCACATGCAGTTCGAAAATGAACATTTCAGTTATGAGGTTCTGTAATTTCATATTTAATTAGACCAATCCCTTTTCTCTGTTCAAAATGCTGCAGTTAGAAGTGATCAGTGCTAATGTTAATGATAAGATGTGTGGGAATATATGGAAGAGTGAGTAGTGGAGAGACTTTCTCTGGGTGCAAAGCAGTCAGGATGTTAAACTGATAGCTTGCTTCCTTCTAGTGCTAAGGCTGCTTGGAGCTATATGTCCATTCCCCCATACATCTTAATACTCCGGTGCTTCATTAATTAAGCACAAGGAAAAGCTTACCTTCCTTTGCCATTCAATATTTGTGTAAGTGCCAATACAGCAAGATGTGTAGACTCTATGGTGAAAGCTTGTGAAACATGAGTTAAGCTGAGGAGCTTTGCATCAACAGTGGAATGCTTGCCTTAAATGTGGGAAATTTTTAGTTCAAAGCAAGTAACCATACATCATGACTGGGAATTATCATGATCTTAACCATACCCTCTAGATGACAGCTGCTTGCATCCATATCACTTATATCTCACCAGTCATATTTATTGTAACATTTTACAATCTTCCAAATAACCCCAGTAGTTTGTAGAGTGAAGAATAAGAGTCATCCTAAATAGGAAATGCACATTACACATTGCTGTCAGCTCTAACTTCTTTGATTACAATTATTGCATAATAGCTGTGGCTGTGATTGTTGTCATTGAAAATATAAATTGTCTAAATTTTACATTTTCTGCTAGTCTAAATAAAAATAGAAGTTCTAAGCAGCATTTATGTTTTCAGCTTGGAAAAATGAGGTGGCACATACTGTGGCATCACAGCATAGATTGAAGGTTGCAGGTCCAACATTGGATGAAATCACAAATCGGGTATTTGAGGAGTTGTTGCAAGGGAAGGCTACTGAGACCACTCATACAGCATCAGATCAAGGATCTATCAGGGTACGGAATTTAAATCAGTTGTAGTATTGGCTTTTTCTTTTGTTTTATACAATACTTTGCATGGGGAAATCAAAGATACAAATGATAATTCTCATTGGAAAACTTAAGGGGAAATGCCACAGAAGACTTAGGCATAGATAGGAATATAATATTTAAATAGATAACAGAGAAATAATTTCTAAGGTATGATAGGATTCAGCTGGCTCAAGACAGGAACCACTATTACACTTTTGTATATATCATCACATGTCAGGTGGTACGTGTGATGAAATGACAGGTTCTAGTTCGGATGATTGGATTTATTAACATTTCAGTTACACACTCTCTCTTAATTACACTTAGATACAGGCAACACAGCACTATCGCTGATGTACACACTTTCCAGTTCACCATTGCACATGCACTAGGATTCTCAGTCTTCACTAGCCATCTCCTAGCAACGGATCTCAACCCAGAAACTATCGCTTCAAATCACTACAAATATTACACATAAAATCTTCCAGTCATGCCTTAAATCTTCACAGGCCAACTTCCTGTATTCTTCTGTACTCCTGATTCCACTTCACTCCGTTCACATGCTTCTGCCACTACTATTTCTCTCGTAACTCTCAGAACACAGGACAATGTCACACACACTCACTGTCACTTCTGCTTCCCACTTGATCTTTTCTCATGCTTCTGCCACTACTGTCTCTCTTGTAACTCATAACTGCTCTACTGAACTTTGTCACTCACTCATATAGCCGAGGGACTGACATCGACCAACAGTAAACACATATCACATGATCCCCATTCACTGTTGCTGTGGGATGTCACCGCACATCTGCAAGCTAACAGACACGCAGGAAACATGTCATGTGATGGCCATGTACTGTTTGTTGTCTGATGTCACAGCACGCACATTGCGTAACAGTGGTCTGTCTGTGGACATAGAAAACACTGTTCCTGTACTGTTGCCCATGGGTGTGTTGTGGGTGTTGTCTAGCAACAGCCGATGTTTACAGATTCACTGCTTAGCAACAGGTCCATATGCCACAATATGATAATGTACCTTAGCTTCCATAAATACAGGGAATTTGTATTTCAGCTGAGTATCTCTGCACCATGAAGTGAAGTCAGTACACTAATTCAATAAGTATAATATGTAGACACATGTAGATTTAAATTTAAAAAAAAATAATTTTAAGTTTAAATCGACGAGTGTATATTAACAGAGATTTTAAACATAACTGACAAATCAGCAAGGGGATTCTTGTATATCGGGACCAATTAAAATGCAGCCATGACAATTGAGAAAGCTGGTGTTTTTATATTTTAAATTACATGCAGTGTAACAGCTACGTAAACGAAATACACCTGATGATGGCCAGTTATGGCCGAAACATGTACTGTGTAAGAAGAAAGACAAAGAACTACAATAAATTGTTGCATTTACGACGGTATTTATATTATACATATAGAAGTGTAGAGTGCAACAGGATGCCTAAATATAATACACTAATTCAATTTTGCAGTATATCAATGATATACCTACAGGCCATATGTGGCCTGCCAGACTTTATAATGGAGCATGCATTTGAATTCTGCTAACAAAAATCTATAAGTATTGACTTTAAAATAATATATGCACACTTTTCAAATCAGAACCTAAAGTACGAGGGTCGTACTGAAACTCATGAGCAACAATTTTTTGGAAAGTAACATGCTTTATTATTGACAAACCAAATACACCACCTCAATCTACAGACCTTTCTTTATTTTTCCACATAATCGTCACTTCTTTATACGCATTTCTCCCAGCGTTCTGGGAGTTTGAAAATTCCCCTTCTGTAAAATTCCATTCCAGCCATCCGAAGACACTGACGCACTGCTTTCTGAATTGCCTCCCTTGTCTCAAAACGTTCACGCAGCTGATCCTTCACAAATCCGAAAAGATGGTAGTCGGAGGGTGCCAGATCAGGGCTATAGGAGGGGTGTGGAAGAACTTCCCACCCCATCTTTGCAATTGCTTCCAATGTGAGGCCAGTGGCATGGGGGTGAGGTTGTCATGCAGGATGATGTTTTGTCCCGGACGTTTATTGCACAGTGCACAACGGAGCTTGTGCAGTGTCTCGACATAACGAGCAGCATTGATGGTTTGCCCATGTTCCAGGAATTCAGCCAGAATAAACCCCTCTGCATCCCAGAAGACCATGCCCATCACCTTCACAGCTGATGGCACTGTCTTGGCCTTCTTTTTTGATGGAAAATGCAAATGGTGCCATTCCATACTCTGTTTTACAATGGATAATACCATCTAGCAGAGTGTACCAGTACTAGTGCCACATGCTTGTTTGAACTTTACACAATTACATCACTTGGAAATACTGTCACTCTCTCTCCATTTTTTATATATGTTATTAGTACCTGTAATGTGCATACATTTTGGGGGAAATTCTGTAGATATCTATTGCATAAAAGTTTCCACTGGATACAGTCCTCCCATATCTCCAAATGTGAAACGTTAGTCCAGCCTCTCTTCATCCTTCCAACAATTTCCAGGTCTTGTTTCTTTCTTTTGGATTCAAGTTTTCTTTTTGTTTCTTTGTGCACTTGCTGATTCATCTTATTCTCTTAACTCTTCCATTGCCTTTCCCAAATATTCTTGTAGATGAAGAATTATGTATGTAGCCAACCACAGTAATACTTATTTCCATATTTATATTAAAAATATAATAATGAAAAAACTTTGACAGATGTAGTTCGTGATTTTAATACTCAACAGTGGACTGTCAAAATTGGCAAATTCTGTGTAACTTTTTACTGTCCCTCTTGTCACTTTTTATTTGAAAGAAGTAATTTGTTAATTCTCTGTTTATTATGAAATTGTGATTGATTTATACATTTCCAGTCAGAAGATTGGGGCTCAGAACATTCTTCAGGAATCTTTGGACGCTTCCTTAGGAGGGACTCAGCCCTTCTGGATAAAGTAAGGGTATGTAGAGGTCCATTATATTATGCCAGTAGAGTGGGTAACACTTAGTTGTTTTCCCTGAAACAGTTTTCCTGTATTTTCTTTGTTACTATTAACTGTAGGATTGATTCTCCAGAATCTGTCAGCCATATATGTTTCATCTGTATACATTTTATGCAATTCTCATAAAGAATACCTATGCAGAAACCACCTTCTCAGGTATGAAGGTACCACCATCTTGGAGTCCACATTATTAATCCCTTGAACCCTTCTTTTCTGAGTGCAGTGCTCAACCAAAGAACTGAATAATTGAATAAGCACCTGAAGATGGCACTTTTGTGCCAAAACATGTAGTGCGGGAGAAAGGAGTGAGGTAGATAAGTGTATGCACTAAAAGACAGTGAAATAAATCATGGACAAAGAACTACCCTTAAAATGGACACCATGATTCTTAGAGCTCAAACAGCTGGTGCAGGATTATTAGAATTATCAATATTTTGTGGTAAACATGTAGTTTGTCCAGAGTTTCTAAAATCACCCACAGTTTGATTGGTGCTGCCATCTGTGCAAGATATCCTTAACTGTGTTGTCCAGTTTCAAATAAAGAATTAGTTTACCTTGGTGTTACATGACACGACCATTTACTGCTACAAGCTATGCTTACATTTGGTTCCAAGAGATTAAGAAGTCCTGGAACACTGGATAATGACTTGTTCAAATTTAGGTGGTTCCTAGAATTAATTAATTTATAACTTTATCTTGCAGGAATCACGAGTCAAAGGCAAGAAAGCTTTTGGAATCAGTAAACATGTTGGAGATGAAAGTGAGGCAAAAGTTGTACCCACCTCACATCCAAAACCACCTCTTATCACCAAATGGAAAGTTGGTGTCAAGCTTCAAGGACGTTCTGAGAGTGATGGTGAGAATAATAATAGTGAAACATAGAATTATCAGTTGGTATGCTGTTGTTAGTATAGCCAAGTAACACAAAGGTAACATTTCCAAGTACATATACAGGGTGGGGCGCAGATACTTCCTTTTTTTGAAGGCGAATAAAAGAAAAATTATTGCTGATAGACAAAATTTATATTTAGCTAATGAAAGAACATACTTTAAAGTTTTAAATCATGTAGTTTTAAACAAAATATCTTGAAGGTGGTGGCCACCGTTCTCTATGCACTGATGCAACCGTTTTCTGAAGTTCCCCTCTGCACATTCCAACATGTGCACCAGAATTTGGGCTACTTCCTGCCGAATAACATTCTTCAGCTGAAGCAGGTTTGTGGGGCTGTGTTTAAAAACCTCTGCCTTGAGGTATAGCCATAATGTTAAACATCTTATGTGACAGTGTTTCCTGCTTGTAGTGCTGTGCCTCTGAAGATGATTCTTTTGAATCGAAACATGTAAGGCGAATGAAGACTGAAGTGTTGTAGACCTGTGTGTCATACTGGACTGAAAGTTGTCTACTTTGTTTCCAATAACATTTCGCATGCCGTTATTCAGTTCTGTAAATCACGTGGTGACAATTCTTGCACAATAACCATCTTATAGGGATGGAAATTAAGATGTTCGTGAAGAATTCGGCGCATTGAACAATTGGATATGTCTAGGGCAACTGCATGTTTGTGAGCGGAGCATCTTGGAGATCTTAAAATCAAGTGTCGAACTGCCTCCACGTTTTCTGGCATCATAACAGTCCGTTGTCATCCTGATGATTTTTTCACCACACTCCTGGTTGTCCTAAAGTTCTCTGTCCACAAAACAATCGATTTCCGGTTGGGAACCGGACCTCTGGGCTTAATTCCGACGTGAGTATGGAACGCTTGCTGCACTGCCGTGTAGGGATGGTTGTTCGAAAAATAGGCTTTGACAGCAAACGCATGCTGCGCGCTCGTCCACCTCATGTTTCCTACTGAGGGGTATTAGACAGAAACTTCCGCAACTGCTGCGTTCGCCAAGCCTATCCCCACTTTTCTGCAACCTCCCCTCCCTTCACAATGCGTCTTCACAAAAAGGAAGTTTCTGCACCCCACCCTGTACTTGGTATTATTGTAGCATAAATTTAACTTAGCTTCTGTATGTGTCCCATCAAAATGCCATTTAATGTGGTTTCGCATTACAGAACTGTATGAAGGTCTGAAACGTGCACAGAGGAGCAGATTAGAAGATCAAAGAGGAACAGAAATAAACTTTGAACTTCCAGACTTTTTGAAGGTAAGAAAGCTATATTGAAGATAATGGGACGAACTATCATCTTTTTTAATGATAACAAAAGGCGGTTTGCTCTTTCCTTTAAAAGTTATGGCCCGTTGTTGCTACTACATATAAATATTACTGTTCAGTCGCTGGCTTTGGTATTAGCATTGCCAACCCTTTTAAGTTCTACTATTGAAATAGTACTTTATTTTCCTTATCTCTATATAAAATTTCAGCATTGAGTCTTGACATCTTTCAGGACAAGGAGAATGCTCCTCAAACTGGTAAAAAGTTTCGAAAACTTAGAAGAGGTGAAGAAAATACGTCCAAGGTCTGTGAGCCATCAGAACTACACCCAGAGTCTCAGCATGCAAGTAACAGTCAAGAGAGATTGCCAGCAGGAACAAGTGGAACCAGATGTGGTTACCATACTGACAGGACTACACCAGGTGCTCTGGTAACTCGTTTATTAGATCAGAGTTTTGTAGCAGAAGGTGTGATTCCCTCTCCTCACCAGGCTGAAGAGTACTTTTTAGGACACCGACCAGACCCAAACAAACTGGATAAGACACATCATGGTGACATTTCAGGAGCTGGATCATCACTTGAGAACACATTAGTAGAACTTAATCCACTGGAAGCAACCTTAACCTGTGTAGATTCTAGAGATGAGGTGAATCAGGGTTTGAATCGTTTGCACCAACATAGTGAACCCCCACCTTTGCCCCCCAAACCTAAGCATCTTCCTCTAAAAACATCCATGTGGGAATCCAGCAGTAATGCATCGGGTTCTACCAACCCCTCTACCTTTAGAGCACCTGGAGACAGTGCCAACTCCAGGTTCCTAAGACCCACAGAAGTAAAAAGGGATGTCAGAGTTTGTAGAAGCCGAAGAACTGTATACCTTGATCAACCCAGCAGCAGTTTTGTCTGATTTAGCATATGCTTGTAGATTTTCAATATGGCTAGTTTGATACATGGTATCATTTGACATAATTTACTTTGTATTTGTTATTAGAGGGGCACACAGTAGCATTGTTGGTTGAGGCACTGTGCTACAAGCCGGAAGGTCGCAGGTTCAAGTCCTGATGAGGTGGATTTTTTTCAATTGACCTAATCCTTCCAGCCACAATATGGCCCTGGGGCTAACTCAGCCTCTAACAGAAATGAGTACCAGGAATGTTCCTGGGGGTAAAAGATGGCCGGTACATAAAGGCTGACAACCTCACCGCCATCTGTGAGCCAATTGTCTAGATAATATGGGACCCTTAACATCTCACAACTGTATGGGCCTCAGTTGCCTGTCACAAGGATAGCTTTACCTGCTTGTCATCAGTAGTTCATTGAAATACTTCCAGCTATGAGATACATGCCCAAGCCATACCTGGTAACTTGTATCAACTTGAATATCACTTTACCACTGATGAAGATGAACAAAAATGAAATTACAGAGTAATATTTTTGGCTGGTCTCATTTCAATACACAGCAGCTGTTGTACATATCATTTAATTGCTGAGAGTAATGTAAGTATTGTACAAGAAAGGACTGATAGGGAAACCAATTTTTGTATCTTTTAATACAACTTGTATAGGACTGTAACCATATTTGTGAAACTGCTTGTAATGCAAAACCAGTCAAACTGGTTTCTTCTCAGCCTATTTTCAGTGTATATAAGAATGTTTAAATATTCTTACAAAATGCTTCCTCATACCTGTGATACAGTCATTTACAGTGTGTCTGGTGAATGGTTTGGTAAAGGTTTTCACAGGACCAAAAATGCTTTGAAGTCTTCTCAAGAATTCAGCCACATTAATGTGGAATATGTTCTGATGTTGTTTGAATACAATACATTGGGCACATAGACTGCACTATCAACATGAAATTTAGGGGGCAAGCATGACATACATCTCTTCCAGCCTAGTAAATCTGCTACAGCTGACCATCACAGATGCTTCCAGAAAAGCTCAGTACTAGTCAGAACTGTGGAATATATGGATTGTGTGGTGAGAGAGGTTTCACTCTGTTGGTCGTACTTCAGCAACTGAATCATTTATATTCTTCTACATTCCAAGTTAACGCAGCATTGAACTAGGTCGGCTGCAAGACGAGTGACTGCCATGATGTTACTGTCACTTCCAGGCTAAGAAATATTTAGTTATGTCACGTATAGGATGGGTTATAAGGTATGTGCAAGTAGGCCTCTGTATATATACTTCAGCTGTTTTATGCCACATATCATGAGTATCCCTGATGATGCAGATAGACATCCTTCAGAACATCAGAATTTTATTCTAAATCAGTGTGGTTGATCTTAACAAGGCTCGTATGCCAGTGATTTGGTCATGTGACTTCAGTTTCAAATGTTCAAAAGCATACAGATCAATGACTTTGCCTTAAGTCCTTCAAAGGCATTAAAAAAGGAAAGGATAAAGATAGTATGTGAAGTGAAATAAGTAAGTTGGTATTTAAATATATTTCCCAGTAAACCAACGATAATGGTTTATAGCTTGTAATTTGAGATGTTCTTATTGTATGAACAGGTACAGTAATTTAATGGCTCATTTCCAAGATAGTGGAATGGTTTCAGCATATCTGATGCTACTGGATATTTATGTTGATGGAATGTTTACAATTTATCTTCACCATAAATTTTCAGAATTTTTCATAGGAACTGTAGAAGGATGGGTATATAGGATGGGTCAATAGGTGCAGTGTTATGGGGTAATAATATGCTAACATCAGGGTGCGTGCTACATACGAACAATTAATTACCACATACTGGGCATGCATGGGACAGAATCTTTAAACTGTATATATGTGTGTTATGCACAGAAATTGACTAAACCTTGTCTTAAAGATACAGTGTCTATTTCTGTACAACTGCTTGTAATAAAATATTTGTCTCCATAACTGAACATAACACCTTCCCCCACCTCCTCCCCTACCCATTGTAGTGTCAGGATAGCAGCTATCCAAACCCATCTAGGTGTATTATTATTGGACCCATAAAATGTATATACACTTCAACATACATAATATCTGTTTACATGTTATTGGTAGTTCAGATTTGATACAGAAAGGGATATCTGCAACAAACGTTGAACTAGAACAAGTATTCAAAGTGCCCACAATTAGCTTCTAGACACTTCTGAGTTCAGCAGACTAGCGCACGAGCAACCATTGCCAAGGTGTTGACTGGGAAAATGGCACACAACACTTCAGTTTCTTCACATAACATCTCCAGTGTCTGTGGTTTCCTAATGACATGCCATATTTTTGAGAGACTCCCACAAGTAAAAGTTGAGGAGGGTTAAATCAGGTAAGCATGGGAGATACTTAACACTTCATTTTTGCCCTATCCATTGACCTAGTAGGGTTTCATCAAAGTAGCTTCTGATGTCTTAAGTGCTAGTGTGGTGGTGCACCACCTTGTTGAAAGTAAAAATGGCTCATTCGCATAGAGCTGATGAATGGCAGGTAAAATGGATTTCCACAACATATTGAGGTACATAGGGCCAGTAATTCCTTCAAAAAAGAAAAAGTTCAGTTAAATCGCTGCAGGACAGCTCACACAAGACATTTGAGTCCTGGTAAATTGTCCACATAAATGTATGGATTTTCTGGAGCCCAGTACACATAATTATGGTAATTCACTGTACCATTCAGCTTACATGTTGCTTCAGCAAACCAAACAGTTCTGCTCATAAACTTCTCATCCTCATGTACCTTGTTTTGAAACAACTCACAAAACTGCACTCTTCGATGAGGATTATCTTGATTCATGGCATGTAACAACCTTAGGATGTAAACTGCCATTTAGTACATTTTAGAATGGATTCTGCCCTTGATATGCTAATTCCTGTCTCACGTGCACATATGTGGTCATCATGTAGACGGTTCCAACATCACAGCTGTGCAGGGTCTAGATATTGGCTTGTGTACATGTACTACGCCATCAGGCTCAAATTTGTCACATATATGTGCAATTGTTAATCATGTTGGAGGGTCTGTTGCAAATTCATGCTGCCATTGTCTTTGTACTTTACACACATTTTCAAATTTACAGTACTTCTCAAAAATTATGTTGCATTGCTCAAATGACAACCATTCTGCTGCCATTTCCTTTGATTGTCCTGCCATTCAATAAGGAGGATTTGGCATTCATGTGACTAGCACCATCTTTTGAGGTCACTGAATAATGTCTTCAGTCTTTCATTGGTGATAATTTTCATGTAGCAAATCCTTCACTTTGCCACCTGCCTGATACTTACACCAAATATTAAAAAGGAATGTACATTTTGTAGTCAAGCCATGGAATGGCAAATACAAATTTGATGAGCTGTACTGAGTGGCAGAACTAAACTTCTTGGACACCAGCAGGATTCAGCACTGGCCACCCAAACAGAAGTGACTACAGTGATGTGTCTATTTCATTCACACCAAAGATGGGTGTGCATACACCTTATCACTAAATTTGTGAGGACTGCAGTTTTGTATAGGAAATCCATCAGGATTAAGCAGAAGCCATATGAATTAAGCACATACATTATTTTGATTTTGTCTTGCAACAGTTTCATACCCTTATCTGTTGTAACAAATGGCAGATATAAAATTTTTGCACTGTGACATGTTTTGTTTGAAAAGATACTTTAAGTTCATATTTTTATCACTGATAGTTTTGGTGAAATTTGCATTCTTGGAAGTGGAAACACATTTTTAATTAAATGCTGTCATATAATTCAGGCTTTGGACACCTACAGTAAGGATGTTCGTGGTATGAGGAAAGCTAAAATATAAAGTACCGACAAACCAAAATAAAATGAGCTGCCCACAAAGTTACACAAAAAATTGCTCATTTATTTAGAAGTATTGGTGTAACACACACAAAGCATTACTAACCCTAAAAACGGTTTTCCATTTTTTTCAAAGTAACATTCAGTAGATTAAAGTCTAATCCCATGTTACATGATGACTCAAACTGATGCCATCTGTGGGTGATTAATTTCTGTTTCACTTGGAGCCTGCTGCACTTCTTTGGTCTGAGGTCTCCTGTGATGTTTCCTCTTTAACAAGCCTATAAGTCTTCGTAACTGGCTCTTTTGGAGGCATCCAATCTGGCACAATTTTTTCATGCAAACGCCAGAGACCATATTCATTAGACAAGTGTTTTTCAAATACAACATATTCCAGTACATCTTTAGCAAGTATCTCACTGCCATGCATCAGTCGCCCAAACCGGTCATAGATTGCAAGAATTTGTTGTGTGTGAAATCTTACTGTTACTTGACTAAAGACATTCTCCTTGGTGATGAGATCAGTGCATCGTGCATGCACCAGACGTGGGGGCTCCAGGGACTTCACAAACTTCCAGTGAATTGTTTTATCTATGGTGTTATGCCTTATTTCCTGTAATAAACAAAATGTATCATGTGAGATGAGAATACAGTCTGTGTTTTCAGTAACTGACTAAATCCTTGAGAAGCCATGAGTTGCTCAGCCCCTCAAGAAATTCCCAGCATTTGATGGAACTTCAGAAAAGTTCTAGGATCTGGGAATTACATTGTTCTTTGCAAATTTAATTGTCATCTGGGGGAAGTCAGAATATGACACAACAAAATGGCAAAATAGAGGCCACTTTTGAATGTGCATTAGGGTTGGCAACAGGGCCTAAACATAAACCTACCATACTTCATCGGATTATATGTCCTGAACTTAGAGAAAATATTTGTACACAGGTTGAATTTTGGAGAGACTGCCCAAGTCTTGTGTATGTATGCTGGCTGTTGTCACTAAATGTCAAGCTTGCCAGATGGCCTCTACTTGTTATGTGGGGAAAAACTAGTGTGTATAATATGGGGATCAGTTGATGAATAAGCTTTCATATTGTTTCTTCTAACCTGAACCATCAAAATTATCAGGCCTATAAAATTTTCTTCTCTGAAGTAGTAATGTTGGACCATTGGTACTTCCGAGTTTGTGATATTTCCCACCACTGAGCATTCTGACTGTGACAGACATCAGACTGGTCTGTAGAAATTTGTATAAGTTAATTACTAATTATAATTGTAACTAACCACTTAAGTAACGATATCAGAGTTATCAAAATCACGCACTTTCTAGGTCGTCATCAGCATGAATGCTAGTTTCAGATGATAGAATTCCATCTTCATTTGTACTGTGTGATTTACCATCACTCACAAAAGAAGCCAATTTACAGGCCATATTTTTATACCTGGCTTCTGGACTGTGGGTAAGGTGTGCAGCAAGAAGCAGTGGGACAGTGGCTGCAGTTGCATGGTGGGAGGGGTATGACTTACTCTAATTAGGACCCTGCAGTAACTCTTATCCTACAGTCCGATTAGTGGATTGTATCATATTCACCTCACATTCTGCTGAGAATGGCCATGTCTGAAAATATGAACATAACCCGAACTGATACTGGCCATGTCAGTATCCAAGGTTTCAGTTTCAGTACTTTCATCAGCAAATACATCAGAAAACTGACCTATCATCAACTATAACTTTCGTACCTAAAGTCGTTTTGATACTGCAGAAAACTGTAAAGCAACAGGGAACAGAGCATAATGAATGCATTTCAACTTGAGACAGTATTTACAACAGATCGGGAGCCAGGACAGAGCAGTCAGTGTAGCAACTGACTACGGGCTGAAGCGTCTTATCAGAGTTTGAGTCCCAGTATGGGCAAGATTTTTCTCCTCTCCATGTCATCCAGACCAGTTTTGGGGTCCATCCTTTTATCCAGTGGGTACTGGGGGTAAAACAGCCATGTCTGAAGCTGACCACTCACCTCCAACTTGTGCCAACGTCAAGAATACTTAGATCTATACATCCACTCCGTGTCTTCATGGTATAGTGCTTAATCAGTTAAGCACAGAGACAACTTTACTTTTATTTACAATTGATCACATCATGGTTTGACGAACTGAACAGATTGGATGGTAGAATTTTTTGCACAGTTACTAAAGGGCATAGGTTACATGTAAGATAACGAACTTATTCCTTGCACTTGATTATATAGTTAAGTAGTATGTCATAAAAGCATGGGGGAATGTAGGTATAGCTCCACCATTGTTGACCTTGGCATTAGATGGAGATAAGTGGTGTGTGTGTGTAAATAGGATACCTAAACATCTCTTTTCAAGCTACTAATAACCATGAGCTGATGTCAAACCAGGGTCACACCCACAAGGCAAAGAAAGACAGCTGAAAAAAACATATGAGGGATCTTCAGAAAGTTTCCGCACTTTTATATTTTCAAAGAAAATTGAAAGAGTGGATGGGCTGAGGTAGTGGGGGACGTTTTGTAGGGTGTCATGAGACTTGTCAGCAAGGAAAGCCTGTTGACCTTGCAGATAGTGAGAGCTGCTACAAAGCAGTGAACATAGCAGCTAAACTTGCAAATCTGTTCGTAAACTCCATGGTACAGGGTCTTTGTTGAAAAGATAACGATTAATTTTCTGGGAAAAATTCCCAACTCCAAGATCCATTTCACTATTACCATAACATGTATACATTTCTAATTTCCTTCTTGATAATAATTTTAACAATAGTAGGTAAAGAATAAAAATAATGCTCTTTATGCAAGTCCCTTCAGTCCTGTGTTATTTCCTGTTTAAATATACGTACAGTGACATCTATCCAGTAATTATAACCAAATAAATTTACTAGGCCTCTTCATTCTAAAGATCTCTTTGTTACATGGCAAATATTAAAAACATAAAAATTGACCTCGCTTTAAATCTGAGTAGCCTTTTAAGGTATCACAGTACTTAAATACAACTACAGTGAGGGATCATTAAAAACTTGGATCAACCCCCCGCAAATTGGTAATCCTGGTTGCCCATGAAAACTTACTTCTAACGCAGAGTTGACATGCAAATTATATAGCAGTCACTTGCACAGAAGTGTCAACAGATCTCTGTACACAAACAGTAATGCGGTGATTACACAGTACTTACTGGATATGCTCGTTCTGTTACAAATTCTTGGAGTTTGTTTTCATCTTTGCTGGAAAATACCAGAAAATCATTGGATTAATAGCACTGTCGTTGATTTGAGTGTAAAATCAATCATCAAGGTGCACTAAAATTGTCTCAGGCAATCAGCCACATCAAAGTTGAGTTAATGCACCCATAATTAAAAACTGCTACACCTAGATGCACATTTCTAACAGCTTCATCTTCTACAAACAAATTGCCTTAATCTGAATTTACTCTACCTTGCCATGAAGGTGTGTGCATTGATGTATATTTCTTGTGCTTGTTGAACAAAATCACTGACTTCAAAATCTTCCTCAAAGTTGCGGATCTTACGTATAGCCATCATGGACTTACTTTTCTTTTCTAGGAATTCAACCTTCTGCTTAGCACCCTAAAGAAGGTAACAGTACATTTGAAAATATGCTCCAACATTTTTAATATTAAATACAGTATTCAGAAATGACAGTAGCAGACCAAAATTGCATTCACAAAGAAATTAAGGGCAGATTAAATCTCAGGAACACTTGCCACCATTCAGTTCATAACTTTTGTCTTCCATCTAACAATGTAAGAATTAAAATATACAAAATTATAATTGTACCTCTTGTTCTCTTTGGGTTTCTAACACTAAGGGAAAAGCACAGCTTGAGCATATTTCAGAACTGAGGACTGAGGAGAATAACAAACCAAAAGGTAAGAAGTAATGAGAGGCTTCAGACAAGTGCATAATGACAACCTTCGTAATTTGTACTCTTCATCAAATATCATGACAATGAAATAAAAAATTATAAAACATGTAGCATACATGCAAAGTTTTGGTTGAAAAATATGCAAGAATAGATTCATCTGGCTCAGGATTAGGACCAATAACAGGCTCTTATTGAAACTTTAGGTTCCAAAAAATGGGAATTTCATGACTAGCAGTATGACTAAACAATCACATTGCTAGTCATGCAGTTCATTTTTAGAAGCAAATATTATCTGCTCCATATACACGTAGTTAGTTATTCTTTAATGCGACCAGAGTTGAAAATGGTACATTTAACCTTTATTGGACGAACGTCATCATATGATGTCGTTAAAAGTTAGGGCAGCTGGCCGAACGTCATCATATGATGTCGCGGATTCCACGCGTGTAATTTTTTTTTAATATATTAAAAATATAAATTGTTGTTCTATTTATATGATTTTTGGTCACCACCTTTATAATGAGACAGCCTTCGTTCCTGCATGATCAAATGTAATCTAGGGACGTCATATGACGTTAAAAGTAAGGCCAAATTTAAGAACGACATCATATGATGTCGCGCATTCCACGCGTGTAAAGATTTTTTTAAAATTAAATTTAAAATATAAATTGTTCTTCTATTTACATAATTTTTGGTCACAACCTTTATAAGGTGACAGCCTTCCCTCCTGCGTGATCTAATGTAATCTACCAACGTCATATGGCCGAACGACCTCATATGATTTCGCGCATTGCACGCGTGTAAAGATTTTTTTAAAATTAAATTTTTGCTCTACTTACGTGATATATGTTCACCATCTTCATGAGGAAACAGCCTTCCCCCCTGCGTCATCTATGGTAATGTGGCCTTCGTATGGTACTGCCGAAAAAATTCCGAAATGCAGAGTCCGACGTCGCAGCTCACGCACTTCGTACGAACGCTAGACCGCTTCCCACGCGAAAAGCACACACGACACCTCAGTTGCGATTTAGAGGAAGCAGGCCAGTGATGTCGAGCTGCAATGATATTTATCCCCGCAGCTACACCGGAATAATTATTCACACCTCTCCAGCCACACTGGTCTGGCGGTCCCCAAGTTGCCGACGAAGGTGATGACCCGTCGTCCGCGGAATCAGAATTCCAACTTTGCTCGCCCCTATCATAATCTGTGTCATTGAACAGCTCTTTCTCAATTTCAGGCATCAGAAGACCAACCTTCCACGCCACATTCAGAATCGGTTGAATAGCAGTCCGAATCTGTGTCTCATTTCAGCATTTTCCATACGACGTAGTCGTGTATACGGATCTCTAGCAGTGCTAGCAGTGAATCTCTGTGCTTAGACCACGATAAGAAGCCATAAATCTTAACCTCGAGCCCACACATACAAAAATCTCATTCACGACTTCTCTGAACCCAATATCTGCTTCATGATGTCATGGGTGGCTAACCTTATATTGCGATGTTTCAAAATCGTTACAAACACAATGGTTTGACTGCAATGAATGAACGAATTACCGATCTGGCAACACCATATTCCGAGAAGTAACTTCTGTGTTTATCTAACACATTAGGCAGCGAGGAATTTCAGACGCAAACAGTCGTGCATAGCGACATGTCCCATACGATAAATAAGCTACAACAAGAGATACCATTGAATGTGAAGTCGCCACAAGGACTTACACTGCTAAAACGCATGGTGCAGAAAATGTATTACACTGCTAGAACGCATGGTGCAGAAAATGTATGAATTTCGGGAAATTTTATTTTGGGAATCAGTGTAAAAAATTTTTACAGATATTAAAATCTGTAAATTAGAATATCTGATTCTATATTCTTTCTACATTAAAGGAGCGTTCATTTCGTTCGTTTATCATAAAAAATGTAGAAATCACACCATTTTTAGAAACATGCTTACAATTTCATTGCTCTAGAAGGGCGGGCATTTAAATAAACTCCGTCCAGCTGCCCCTACCGGAAATTAAATGGCCCGTCCGATAAAGGTTAAATCTTGAATCAAACATGACATTGCACATCTCTTGGAACCCTAACATAAAATCAAAACTGACTTAAACAGTACATGTATACTAATATATTCCAGGGGGCATGGATGGTAAATGTTTCACATTTGTTAAATCCTCTGCATACCTAGCAAACATACCAAATTATTTAACAGATAATTCCTACATTGGTGCGCAGAAGACAATCCAGAATTGACCTTAGGTCATTCCATACCAAGTCAAAACTAAATTCAGTTTCAACCATAACATCATCAATTTTCATAATTTTTATTTCCTTTGTTATTTGTTATTGTTAAGAAATCCTCAGATATTAATTAATGAAATTAGGCAGTTTCTAACATACTCTTTCATAAATATGTAAATATCTCCTTTACTTAAAGTCAGAAATATAAAAGTTGAGGTCCAGCAGTTTTCCTCAAAGAATCTACTGGTGCAAAACTTGTACTTATATCTGCAACAGTCTGGGAGTAAACCCTTTGAACAAGTCTTTAAAAAACTGAAAAGCACTGTGGGATTGAATTTAGAAAGTTGAAAGTTTTACCCACTAAAAAAAAATGTTTAACCTATAACAAGAAAAAAATATAATTTATGGAAGGACTAGATGACAATAGAGACTTGGGCATGGTGTTACACAGCAAGAACTTTCTTCCACATACTGGGGAAAAAATAAATTATGGGTCAAGTCTATGTACAGTGGAACCTCGCTTAACAAGCATAATTCATTCCAGAATCTTACTCGTAATGCGAAACACTCGTTAAGCGAAACAATTTTTCCCATATAAACTAATGTAAAATACGCTAATGCGTTTCATGCCAAAAAAAATACTCAAAAAATTTTATGTATAATGTTTATTCAAAGAAAATTATATATACATTGTTAAGGAGCATGAATCATCTTCATCTTTTCTTCTATATGGAATGAACTAACCTGGAATGCAAATTCGATTCGCAGAAAACAAAAAAAAAAAAATTGAAATAATTAGTTTATTATTTATGATACATATTGTCACGTATCGGCTGTATAACGCGACAAATAACTTCACAATGTATTTGGTATAGCGAATTTTATTTCACATTCGCACTTACAATCACCCAAATTACAGATTTACGATTACTGCTATCTGCAGTATCACAATTAGTACACTCCAAATGCCACAATACAACTGACTGGTTGCTGGCTAACTCAGAACTAACTCGGAGGTAGCTCGAGGACTGACTCGTAGGTAGCTCCAGGACTAACTGTGAATAGCCTTCGCTGCTCCTCATGTAGCCTCGATCGGACAATACAGAAAACGGCCACGTAATAAGCACCCTTGTTGCCTGGCGCTGTGTTGCTAGCAACGCTAGCGGTAGTAACCGCTGTTACTACCATCGTCTCTCGCAATCCTGTTGCGTCACCGTTACATTACCGTGCAGAGGGGGAGGGGAGCGCTGACTCACGCGTCACTGCTGGTGGGGGGGGATTCTCCTTTGCGCAACATGTCACAATATCTAATTCTTTTTTACTAGAAAGCTGTCTAGAGATTTGTTTTTGTCGACGCTTCAAAATTTGGTGAAAATGCGACACAGCATTATCATTAAATAAATTTGTAGCGCGCATAGCCACTGCCTTATTAGGGTGATGCTTCTCAATGTACGATGCAAAAGTTTCCCATGCTTTCAGCATTTCTTATTGTGCCAGAAGATTGTTGCTTGCTGTTACCTCCTCCTCCTCCTCCTCTGACAAACTCTCCTCCACAACTTCTTGCTGTGAAACACAACTCCACAAGCTCTTCGGTGGTCAGCTCTTGGCTGTGCTCTTCCACAAGCTCATCGATATCACTGTTATCCACCTCCAGCCCCATGATCTTGGCCAAAGACACAATCTCGTTGACTACAGGCTCCACAGGTACTATCTTGAACCCCTCAAGATCACATTCGACAACGCCCTCCAGCCAAAGCTTCTTCCAAGATGTGAGGGTTCTCTTGGTAACCCCTTCCCACGCCTTTTTGATCATCTCGAGGCAGGCAACGATGTGGAAGTGATATTTCCAAAACTCTCTGAGAGTGATATTGGTCCCTTCAGTCACCTCAAAACAACGCTCGAAGAGTGCTTTAGTATACAGCTTCTTAAAGTTAGAAAAAACCTGCTGGTCCATAGGCTGGAGTAACGGAGTGGTGTTGGGAGGCAGAAACTGGATCTTGATGAATTTATATTCTTCAAGGAGGTCATCTTGTAGGTCTGGAGGACGGGCAGGAGCGTTGTCCATAACAAGCAAGATATGAAGTGGCAGATTCATCTCAAGCAAATATTTTTTCACAGAAGGACCAAACACTTCATTGATCCAATCAGTAAAAAGGTCACCTGTCACCCAAGCCTTGTTGCTGGACCTCCACATCACATTTAGCCTACTCTTCTGGACTTTACACTTCTTGAAGGCTCGTGGAGTTTCTGAATGGTAACCAAGCAGCGGTTTAATTTTCAAATTGCCGCTTGCATTGGCACAAAATAGCAGCATGAGATGGTCTTTCATTGGCTTATGGCCGGGCAATGCATTATCCTCTGCTGTTATATATGTTCACTTCGGCATCTTTTTCCAGAAGAAACCCGTCTCGTCACGATTAAAAATCTGTTGCGGCAGGTAACCCTCAGAATCTACGAGCTTCTTGAAGTTGCCGATGAAGTTCTCTGCTGCCTTTGTGTTGGAGCTTGCTGCTTCACTGTGCCTTACAACACTGTGGATGCCGGTTCTTCTCTTAAACTTCTCGAACCACCCATGGCTTCCCTTAAATGCTTCTTCTTCGGCCGTTGATGATCCTGGCATCTTCTTAACAAGGTCGGTGAAAATCACTTTCGCCTTCTCACAAATGATGTTCTTGTTAATAGTGTCACCTTGCAATTGCTTTTCGTTTATCCATATGAGGAGCAACCTTTCAACATCGTCAAGAATACGTAACCATTGCGTAGATATTCTTGTCACTCCCTTTGAAGCATCTATCTCCTTAACCCTTTGACGTGGTCATTTAAATTCCGCGGCCGCGGCTCCTGCGGTAATATATTCAGCCGGCCATTTAAATTTTGCTCGAAAATTATTTATTCATCATTGTTCTTAAATTCTATGAGATAGGAACATGAAACTTTCACTAAAATGATCTTAAATGGTGGTTTTATA